TCTATTTATCATTTATCTATCCCTTTATTCTCTCTCTCTCCCTGTCTCTCTCTCTCTCATATATTTATCTCTCTCTCTACATATGTCTGTCTGTCTGTCTGTCTATCTATCTATCTATCTATCTATCTATCTATCTATCTATCTATCTATCGGTATCTAGACCTTATCTATTTATCTATCATCTACCTATAGAATAGAATTCTTTTACTAGCCAAGTGTGATTGGACACACAAGGAATTTGTCTTAGTGCAAATGCTAACCTATCATCTATATCTCTACATCTATCTGTCTATTCCCTCTCTCTCTCTCTCATCTATCTATATATCTCTACATCTATCTATATCTATCTACTGGTATCTACCGTTTATCTATCTATCATCTATCAATCAATCATTATATCTCTACATCTATCCATGTATTCTCTCTCTCCCCATCTCAAATCTATATCTGTCTCTACCTACATCCGTTTGTCTGTCTGTCCATCCGTCCGTCTGTCTATCTACCGCATCTAATTACTGCCCCACCCTTCTCACCTGAGTGACTTTACAGCAGACCTTAATAAGAGATTCCTGATTATTGCTTTGATTGCATCGCACTGGGTGGTGGCTTCAGAGCCATCGTGGGCTTGAGCTAGCCAGCGCACCGTTTTCCAGGTGAAACCATCTTTCTGTAGCCTCGCCCCCCCTCCGGGAATCCGTCAGACTTTTAAAACACGAGTCCCTTCTCGCCCAGATTATGGAAGAAACGTACAAGATGGAGTTCATGTACAGCCACGTGGAGCATCGGCAGGTGGTCATCATCCACCATATGAGGCTCCAGGCCAAGGCTCTGCAGCTGATTGTGACTGTGCGGACAACGAGAGGGTAAGGAGGCTTTCTGGGACTTTGGGGGATGCTGGGATCACCGGAGAGAGAAGTTAGGGGGAAAGTAGATTTCCGCTGCTGACTACAGTCGGCTCATAAAACTTTGGAAAGCTTTGGAGCGATTTATTATGCGCTGTCAGGTTGGTGTTGACTCTTCCAAAGCACTTGAAGGCTGGACAGGAACCAATGAAGAATAGCATAGAATAAAACAGAACAGAACAAGGAATGTAATTCAGAGTAGAATAGGAATAGGAATAGGAATAGAACAGAACAGAACAGAACAGAACAGAATAGAATATTGGAGTGGAGTGGAGGAGTGGAGTGGAGTGGAGTGGAGTGGA